AATATGGTATTTTTAAAAAGAAAAAAAAATGTGGAAAGTAATCAAAATCATAATCCCTTTGAATAGACTTCTGTTTGTTTGTAACAGCAACAGAAAACAAAATTTTCCCAATGCTTTCAGTGTTATTTCAGGTCAGCTGTTTGGAACTGATTGAAGACAAGGAGAAGCATATGATCAATACTGAACCTTCCCCCACACACACACATAAAGCTGTATGGAATGTGAACCATATGGAACTATTATTTCCTTACAAGAGAGAATGGAAAGATACAATAAACAACAGAGGACCTCCATTGTGAAACGTTATTACAGTAACAGAAGCTGCTGTCACAGGAGAGACTACCATAGTCAATTTCATGTGCACGATGGACTATGAAAGATTAAGACTACTGCAGAAGTTCAAAACCACTGGCACTGCCTGCAATGAAATAAAAAGCAGAAGTGGCCAAAAGACAATCAGAACTCCAGAGAAGATTGCAGAAGCACAAAGGTACTGTTATGAAGTCCCCAAAAAAGTTTATGAAAACGTAACAGATGGTAGTGTCACACAGTACTACTAGGAAACTCTGCAATGATCTGTCAGCATCTCCATACAAAATGTAGATCACTCAACATGTCACCTATGAGCAAACAAAACGGCTTGAGTTTGCAATAGCTTTCAGTCTTGACTTCTAGAAAATGAATATCTAGAATCTAGATATGAATCCGAAAAACCTACAGTTTTCAGATGAGATTCCATTTAAATGGATATATTAATAAACAAAATTCATAATTCTGGACATTGCAAAATTTACATGCTGTTCTTTACATTTGGAATAGGTTACTGCATAGCATGCAATATCTTCTGTTTGCATTTTCAGTACAGTGTTTACTGATGGAAAAATGACAAATAAAGTATACCTCAGGATTTTAAGAGAAGAATTTTTTCCATTTTTGTTTGGCATGATTGTTGATTCTTCCTCTTGCTGGTTTCAGCAAGACTGTGCAAGATGGCATATTAATTCAGAAGTCAAGAATAGTCCTCGATTATCATTATGAGATGTTTGTTAAATGTGTGCTGTCTAACCCAGTGGTCAGCAAACTCATTAGCCAACAGAGCCAATTATCAAGAGTACAATTAAAATCTCTTTTGACAGCTACATTTTTTAAACTTAAATTATATAGGTAAGTATATCATTATCCTCCTAATTAGGGTTATGGCTTTTACTAAGAAGGTCCTCAAATGGATCAACGTACATTCTTTGAGGACAACCCTCTTCCAACTATTCTATCCACACTTGTCCTTGTATCCACACTTGTCGTTTCATGTATCTTCTTTCATTCATCCTCTCTATATATCCAAACCATCTTAACATACCTTTCTCAGTTCTCAACACATCTTTCTTCACTCCACAACGCTCCCTAAAGTTTACTCAGTGCTTCAATTTTTAAGTCTGAGTTAGACTATACAGGTGTGTCAAATAAAATTTGATAGTACACTAAACAACGGTACTAGCGGTTGATAAAATAAAATTGTAATATACCCCAAAACTTAAATTATGATAGAGATGAACAAACAATAATATGAACAGTGGCCTTGCATCTCCTTGGAAAGTATGTGTAACTCAGGTTTGTATGTTGTTTTTAATTTTAAGCATGATTCCAAGCTCTCATCAATAAGACAACTTCTCAATTTAGTTTTCATAAGGTTCATGCTTGAAAATTATTGTTTGCATGGCTATGTAGACTCGAATAAGGAAAGAACAGCTAATGCTAGTTCATTCAACTGATTATATGAGTCAGAAATACTATTCCATGTGTTAAAAATCAACATTCCTTCTCCAGGGCTTTCCAAGCAGACCACTTGTGCTGTGAACTAAGCTCACATGTTTTTCTCCAGTGTATCTAAATCAACGATAAGACGTTCAGATGTTAAGTTTTATAATTCTTTGTTTTTTAAATCCAGTAATTGGACTTCAAAGTTGCCAATGTCAGTATTAAAAGGGAGTAAACTTTAATTCTGTTACAGTAGTATTAAGAGGTTTACTAACAAAGGCTAACATTGCTTTGCCGTTTCTGAATTCCTGAAAATTCCTGAAAAAAATTTCTCTCATATTTAAAACTGTTGTTTTGAAACAGCAAATGTCATTATCAGAATTATTTTCTTGGCGATGTTCCAACAGGCTTGCAAAGTGAATCACAGTTTCTCTTTCAAAATCTTGAGCAAAAAAGAGATACCTTGATTTTAAATGAAGTAACTTCAAACATCGAAAACTTGTGTTTATTTTCCTCTGTAGTTTTTGATTAAGCTGATTTAGATGGGATGCAATGTCTACCACAAAATAAAAATTCCGGATTAACTGATCATTTGTTAGTTCTGGATAATAAATACCCTTTTCAATGAGAAAAGCTTTAATTTCTGTTAATAGAGATGCAAAACGTTTCCTCTTGATAATCAATGTACTTTGAAAACCACCAAAAAAAAAAACTGCGTACTCACATGTCATTTCAACTATAAAATTCTTTAAACTAGTGATGATTAAGAGTTTCAGCTATACTGGAGTTTAATCACCAATTCCATAACTCTGCACACAAAGTGCTTCTTATGAAATGACACAATGATAAATAAGTATCTCATGATTGATATATGGGTCATTTATCACTACATCAGCAAAAATCTTACTAGAATCAGTGCAATGGCAATTTTAACTTGATACACCAAATAACGTAAAAATGAAATTTCGAGTCAAAATATCTGGGTTTTTAGTTTTTGAACATTTCCAATTTGAAGTTTTTTCATTTGATATGCAACCCAAACATTGTCTATGTATTTTAGGTTCCCTAAATTCAATTGCGAAGAAACTTTTTGTTTCAGACACTGGAAAAACTTCAAATTTGAAAGGTCTGAAAAGCTAAAAATCCTGATAATTTGAAACTAAACTTCATTTTTACGTTTTTTGGTTTCTCATTCATGTTAAAACTGCCACTGAATGGTATATTAATTCAAAGCATTTCATTAATTAAAATTTGGTAATGAAAATCACTACAACAACACAATTTGATGTATAACCAATACAATCAGAATGTCGAAATAGGTGCCAAAATATTTCCTAGGAATAACATTGGCGGATATGTGTACAGTTGTTTTCATGATTCTGTAAAATTTGACGACCGTTGCATTGTATTTTCAAGATTTTCTTACTTTTACGTGCACGCGTCCATGCCTGCATGTGCTATATTGCGGAAGAGCCTTACTCAAGGAGCTAAACAGATACATTTGGCTCGTGAGACACAGTCTGCGACAACTGGTCTAACTGATCACCAACTGCATAGAACGGGATTTGAATGGCATCCTATGTCACCACATGTGATTCTATGCAACTACTATCTTGAGGGTTACTTGAAACACAGAAAGTTAAAGCAAACCCAGCAACAATTCAGAAATTGAAACAGGCAACAGAAGGAGGAATTTTCAACATTTCTAGCAACAGAGTACTCACAGCGATGGGCAAATTTGTTCTCCAGTTGCACCATGACTGTATGAAGCAAAGGTCACATATTGAACATATTATGCTGTAAATTCCCAGGTCTTGAGATAATTTTCCAGAAGTAAGAACATCTTGTGACAAGTAGCTTATACAATGTGGATAATTACAATGGTTCTATCATTAAAAATCACTTGGTGAATGCCATTTAGTCATCTTTTCCACCATGTGCAATGCTTTGCTGCATACAGTACAATGTGAATGATTTACAGAAATTTTAGATGCTTTAATGTATGGAAATTCTTAAGTACAGGAAACTTAAAATTTCTGGCCTGATAATTTTAGCCTCTTATTTTGTGGCAGAATAATGCACAAGATTTAAAAACTTTCAGTTTAATCATAACTCACAATATGCACATGCTACATTTTCTCACCACAACTAAAAGAATGTAGTAGAACAACCTGGGGGGAGGAAGGAGCCCTTCACTACAAGATGTTTAATTAGAATAATTAATAGTCGAAATTGCAAATATACAATAACCTACTTATCAAAACTACAATAATTCTAAACATGATGTCATGATTATTACGCCAATCATCAGATGTATAAGTTGTTTCTGTTTTGCCCACCACTTCCCATGCTTCCTTCCTGTAAAATCCTCTTTTTTTTTCCCCCCCCCACAGCTTGTAGATTTTAAGAATTTTCCATAGAAACTGCAAAGAAACCATAGTAGCTGGTGTCTATGCATCCACATTTTCATCATCAACTAGCACACATACTGCTGCAGTGAAGGCCTCTGTGTTATAGTATGTGCCTGCCACTAAAGGGAATCAATCACCCAGGAACACTTTTCAGGTTACAGGATAAGCTGCAATAAACTGTACTACTTGTTAAGAAAATTATTTCTAATGAATATTGATCATAGCATCTGTCTTGCAGAAAGTTTGTATTTCACAAATTCCATCAAAAATGGTGCAAGAAAGGTTAGTTCAAATATTAAAAATAAATAAAGTTCAAATCTTCATTACAGATAGTGTTTCAGTTTTATGTATGAAATCCAAAAACACTCCAAATGGAATTAATTTTTCAATTCCCCTTAAGTATGCTGAAACATCAAACCCCTTAAGAAATAGATACTAATGTTACATGTAGGCCATGAAATTTGAGTGTAAATTATGGACAGTGCCTATTATTTTAAGTTTCCAAATGTAAAAATACCTAAACTAGAGTGAATTTCAAATGTCAGAGCCCACTGCAGAAAACTGTTTTTCTATTACACAAAAAAAGTAGAGCTTAAAATGGCAAGTTTCTATATTCAGTTGCTTTTGTTAAGGAAATTTATGACAATTATAAACAGCTGTATAGATATAACTAATTTATTGTCCAATTAATTCAAAGTTTAATGCACACTTTAAATTAAAACAGAAGTAAATAACTCTGAAAATTCAAACACAATTCATTGTCCAATTAATTCAAAATTTAATGCACATTTTAAATTAAAACAGAAGTAAATAACTGAAAATTCAAACACTAACCTAATACCCTTTTGAGGAGGAGATGATGTCATTACAGTTACACCACCACTAGAGACCCGTGTTACAGGAATGTTTACATTTTTATAATTTATGGCTGTCATACTACGATTCACAGCAGATGATGAACCAAGGCGCATCATACTAGTATGCAAACCAACAGGAGAACCCAAACGTGTAGCACTTTGATAATCTAAATGAAAATATACATAATACTGACATAAGCAATTTCAAACATTCAAAGAAACAAATAATTGAGAAAATGAAAAGAAACTCGGAATACTAAATATGATAAAATAAGAAAATCTTCATTCTTTATTAAAACAGTAAGAAAAATCAATTATTGAAACAATCTAAGAAAAAAGAATTAAATTGTTGTGATAATTTATTTGTCAGATAAAACTACTATTGACCACAAATAGCTACTATAATAAATGCACATTACTTTTATTTTTCATGAGTTTTTGAAAAAAAATGAGTAAAAATATTTATGTAATCTTTAAAAATTAATGCACATAACTAGGGCAATAAATTTACAGTGACATGAATTTCTACAAATTTAAGGAGATTTTCTTTTGATTTCACGAATACCAGATTTTTCAGCAAATACTGAATAAATCTCTGAACTACAATTTTTTTCCCTATTATAACCATTAAATTATTACCATATATAAATAATTTTATTCCACCTTTCACAAAAGTGCTAGAAAAGGGTTCATACATATTTCTACACATGGCAATTAAATACTTTTAAGGACCATTAATGAAAAAAAACTAAGGACCTGTCAGCAAATGGTAGTGAATAAGTTCAATTAAAGACATTATCTATGCCTGAACTTCACTTTTGTAATACCATCCTAATAATAAAACAGATCAGTATGTAGGATGCATTATTATTAAACAAAATTTAATAAACATACTTATAAAACAAATTTGAGAATAAAATAAACTTTGTAAAATTTATCAAGTAGCATTAAATATTTTACACTTATAATAGTTGGGCGTATTTTAAAGATGATTAGTGACATTCTATTTATGTTTTTCTTAACGGTATGCTGATTTTTGTGCCTCATTTTGTCACGTACTTGCGCAGTCTTAAGGTTTATTAAATAGCAGCAGATTGTATGCCAAACATAGGTTAAATGAGCAGTAAAATCATAATCAGCATGATTCATAACAGAAGACTAGCTGTTGCCACCATTGCTGTTCTCCTAGAGAAAGACCTGCACTGAAAAAATTACATGTTGAAAACCTCTTGCCATGAAAAAATATTTACAAAAGAAGACATTTTAAAATAACTACATAGCTATTTTTCTTTTGCTAAGAATTGTTTTGCAAGTTGTTTTATAGCACTTATTATCTTGTTTATTTTTCAGATTCAAAATATTGCTACAAGTCATTGAACCACATTATAAAATGACAGGGAAAAATAAATTTTAATTTTATTTCTTAAACCTAATTTTACTAAAATCTACCAACATTATAATATTTTTTTAAAAAAACAATCATTGAAGAATTCACAAATTCCTAATTACAAATTATTGTATAGAAACTGATTTTAAAATCACTGAAATGTTGGTAAGTCACCAAATTTAGAGACATTTAATAAGAGAATTCATGTCCCCAAAAGGGAAAATTTGCTTTAGGCGTCCCATATACGTATTCCCTAAGAACATCTCTTACAGCTGGGTGTTACATCCACGCATCAGTAGAGATTGAATTCAGGGTAATGCTTATACACATTTTCAACTGGAACCTTTTTTTGAAGACCACTAGATAGCACCCTATGTCCATTACATTTGAAATGAACACAGTTTTACGTTCCTGACCTTGAGTTGGTATATAATCTGCCTGACTTTGGTATTTTACTCATCAACTGTTGTGAGGGTGTGTGTGGGGGAAGCGTTCAGAGGTGGGCTCTTTAAATCGCCATGTGCTTTGTGTGTCTGATTTGTATCCAATTCCTTTTTTTATTCTATTTTTTCCTCTACTATGTACGGTATGTTAGTTACTATGGAGCTATGTTACATTTTGCATTGCCTTCAGATATATTTCGGGTACTTCCCTCTTTATTTCAGAAAGCCTCATGCCTCAACTCTAGTCTATTATGGCGCAAAGGTGCTATTTATCAGAGGAAGAATACACTCATATGGTTAATCAATTATTTACTGACACAGATGGACTGGATTATCCAATTATGGCAAAGCACACAAGGGCTGGGAGGGATGCCTTTGTGAAGGACTTTCTAAGGGAAACTGGCTCATATACATGTTACACGTGGGGAAAACCACGAGAAATCCCATGCAGCCAGCCCGTTCACGGGATTTGAACCTCGGGCCAAACTACCAGTGTTCAGCGTCTTTACCGCTTGGCCGCTGGTGGGCTACTGACACAGATGAGAGTGATTATTCATTTTCTAAAGAGTTAAAAAGTGACACTTCTTCTAAGAGTTAGAAAGTAATACTTCTCCATGCTTCGAGATTTACCACACTCAGTCTTCCTTTTAAATTTTGTTACTTTTTCCTGTAAATAGTCTTTATTGTGTTGTTTTATTAATTTTAAACTTTACTGATGAATTGTATCAATTAAAACTTTAAAATAATTTGAATAGCGCTTCCGAAAATTATTTTACAAGATAAGCAATTTTTTAAATATATTTTCATGTAAAATAAAGGGGAAAAAAGTTATTAAATGCTAATTTTAACATATATAAGAGCTCAAGTAATAATTTAAAATGGTACCAAAAATTACGATGCTAGAAGTGGGGCTTTTTATTTATGAAATTAGGCTTAATGATGCAAAACCCACCGTCCTGTGAGATGACTGCCTTTGATTCCCTTCTGTCCTGCACAAGCATCTTAAACAAAGGTGCACCATTGCGAAAGGGTTAAGAGATTTTTATTAGAAAAAAAAATTATTTTGAAATGCTTATGTTTTACTTCTTGCTCAGAAACTTGAGTATCACACAGTTTACATTACAAACAGGAGCAAATTCAAATGATGATTCTCAAATCATGAAATACATATTTGTCAGTGAATTTCCAAAAATATTGCTCCAAAATGTTGATTCATGCTCAAAATGGCCATCGAAAAAATAGATAGAAATTTCAGATAATTACAATTAAAGACCTTCTGCTGATTTTGGCTGAAATTAAAAACTTTTAAGAACCAAAAATCCGTTCAAAAAAAAAAACTTAGACTTTTACAGATTCTTTTAAGGACTCTTGGGGACTGTAAAAACCCTGTTAGAAGACTGAACTTTTATTTAACTTCTGATGGGCTCTTCCAACATGTGAAAAAAATCATTTCCCAATGTTGCATCAAACCACTTTTCATTGCCCGTTAAAGCCAACAAAACTCATCAGATTAATATTTATTCATTTTGGTTCCTGGAAATTTAAGCACAATAAGCACATAGTTTATCAACCAGCAAGTTTAATAAATGGCGAACACTGTATATAATGTGTACTCTAAACACCCAGATTATCGGATTGTCCAATTAGTCATTTTGATCTAAAATAAGGTACTGAATTTTTCTAGAGGTTGATTTACTTATGTGCATAAATATAAATTAAAAATGTATAATTTTTATTTAGTTACATACAAGTTAAATGTATTATTGCTTCATTTCGGGTACGTATTCCCCATCCCAAAATAAGTGTGATTGTGACCCCATTTCAAAAATCCTGAAAAATACCGTGCAGCAAAAATCTTATGTAATTTCAAATAATTCCGAATATTGTTTTGAAACACATTCATACATGTAAACAAACATATTTCAAACTATTTCAGTGGCAAGCCAAAAATTCTTTTTTTTTTTAAATTTTATTAAGAGTTAATTTTTTTTCCCTTAGCATCAGTTCACACGGTTGCCCATGTATTTAGCTTCTCAATAATTAAAAAAATAATTGCTATGTTAAGCTTGCTATTTTGAGCAGAAAGGGAGGGTACTTTCTGGGATCTACTGTGTCTACATTTTTCTTTGCTAACAAGTGAAAATTCAGTTTGAAAAGCAAGATATTTTGATGGAAACAATAGCTTTTCACATAGTCCTTTAAGTATTTGATTAGAACTTGTAGCATAAATGAAGAACAGTTAGGAGAGAGTGCTTCATAAAATACAAAGAAGTTTGGTAAACTGTCCATAACTATGCAATAAATAATTCCTAAAACTTTTACCAATAGTCATCAGACCCAAAACTTCATATTTAGTTTTGTGTAATGAGAATAAATAATATCTCAGCCTGTGCAACATCTGAGTTATTATTGTTAAAAGGAAATTCTTTATTTTGACCCATAACTCATATAATTAAATGAAAATTCACCAAGAGATCCATGGAAGCAAATTAAAACAGATTTAATCAGTTTAATCAATACTCGGAGTCTCTGTTCACTGTCTTCTTTCAATCTGAATACTTCAGCCGAGAACTTTTGGTTTTAGATATTTCTAGTTCAGCTACCTTTCACAAATCTAGAAATTCCAGATTGGAGAAAGTAAAAGATCCAGAATTCCAGCTATATCCAGGCTATAACAAGGTTCATAGCCACATTTTAGTTAAAAAAATAAGCACCTATAAGCACTTTTCAAGCACATTTTAAGAAAAAAATAAGCACCTGTCTAATTATATTATACACAACTGCATAACCTTAAAAGAAAAATTAGACTTGTAATTTAAAAATTCAGTATTTATTAAGATTCAGTATTAATTCAATATTTATTAAGAAAATGAGCATTACCTCAACCATGGAAAACAATTAACTTTCTTTTTTTTTAAATTTTAAATGACAGTTCAATTTACAGAATTAGTTTTTACAATGAGAAGGAAAAAAAAAACTATGCAGAACTAAACTATATTACAAGATTTAATGATGAAATTTCAGTTCAAAATATAGAAAATAAATATAATAAGCCATATCATTATTATATTCGTTGGCACCTAATAAAAAATACAATTTATTTTTTCACTCATATTAATATTTAAATAATTTAACTTAAATCAAAATTCTGAACAATTTCTAAATTTTCATTGCATAACAGTTTTCCCTTAACATATATTCCAAGCAAAGTAATTTAAGTAAAAAAGAGGCACATTTCTGAAATCAGAAGACGGAAATTGCTTTACATGCAGTCTATCCTTTAACAGTAAAAGCTTAACTAACCCGCATACTCGGAAACTGATGCCAATATTCGGACAGTCGACAGTAACTGGAAAAAGAGAAGCGGAGTGGGGTAGATTGTAGCCGTTCTTTAGATTTAAATCCCAGGCTAAATAAATGATTTTGACGTATTTCGATATGTGCATCATATAAAAATAAACCGAACGGAACTGAGAAAATATTCTACTTAGAAACGCACAGAAAAACTCTTTTAAGTGTTCATAAACAAATCTCAGGACTGGAACATCAAAATTAATTATCCTCTGCAAAATACCGCAAACGTTATTGTGCAATACGTGCGTCATAATTCTTCCACATGTGATATTACACAATCAGAATCAACAGCTGCCGATATTCGGAGAATAAAGAACTAAATAAAGGAACAGAAAGAGACTTACTAATTTGGGGTGTTTCTGATTCTAATTTTCAACAGACTACGTTAAATTTCCAGAATAGAATCAATCTTCGCTTAGGTTGGGTAGACCGCAAAAACTTTTAGTCCTATTCAATCCAGATTGGACAGTGGGGGGGGGATCTGCTGCTTCAATATTACAGATTTTGCGGAGAAAGTGGAGAACCTCCCAACCTCCGAACTGTATAATGTATTGGAGGGGAAAGAAATTATTTTGACTATTCGATTACCTTCCTTTTATTTAAGCCATTCCGAATATTATTCCCTAGAAAGCTAATCTGTTTAAAAACACGGAAGTTTATCTATACTTCAGCAGTTACTGCAACTATATTATTATAAATATTCATGCATATACTCATAATATAAGCATAACGATCATAATAAACACGAATATGAACTGACCACATGGAACAAGAATGGAAATTATTAAAATCTTGATAGAAATTCAAACATGTGTAGTATTTGAATGGGAGGAAAAGAATACCAAATGTAACGGAATTTTCTACCATTTTTGCAATTCTTTGACCAATAGAATGACGTGCACCTGTCTGTACTCTCGCACGCACCATAGGTTACGGTAATGCAGAGAAAGGGGGGAAAAGCAATTTCCGGGAGTATGATTTACCATCTGACATTGCATATAAGGAAGAAAAGTTGTTTATTTAGTTTTGGCTTCGGTACGGGAAAAAAATGCACGTTCATTAAAAAAAAAAGGATTAAAAAAAAAGCACTAAAAGCAAAAAATAAGCACTAAAAACAAAAAAATAAGGGCTTTAAAGAAAAAGTAAGCACCTATAAGGGCCTTTATATTGTATTTTCAAATATAAGGACTTATAAGCACTTGTAAGGACCGCTACGAACCCTGTATAATCACTAAGGCTGCCAAAAAGTTAATGTACAGCTTGACCACAGAATTTTTCAGCAAATTGTTAGCGTAAATTTTCCGGCTATGAAAATTTTGCAGATTTTCACTACTTACCCAGTGACTGCTTCAAGAGCTTTAATTTGGAACCTTATCATAAAATGTCTGCCCTACTAACCACTTAACTAAATACTAGCATTTGCATATGCATATTGGTTAAAACTTTTATTCCAGCTACCACCTTCTAGAACAGGAGAGTCTGTTTTCAGCAATTTTCAATATAAACAACCTGGCTATAAAGCAATCACGTAACTTTAGTACATCAATATATCACAATAGCTCAGAAATCAGTTTTCTACTTCCTTGACCTATACAGCAGTTTCGCTTACCTGACATTCCAGTATTGTTCAATATACCTTAGCCACCTCCAAAAAAAATTGGGAACAAGAACCGCAAGTTGTGAAAATAGTCTTTTTAGTTGTTGTTCCTCTATATTTTACTGTGTGATGTACCTGTCAACACTACAACTCATGTGTCTGTCATTCATTGCAGTGCAGTTTATCATTGCATACAAACTGACTTAGGTTTGTTACTGTTCATGTTATGTTAGCATGAAATGTGTCTAATTTGAGAAACATTATTCTGATAGTTAATGGTTAAGGAATCAAAACACTGGATAAGGGACAGACAATGCAGAAGCTAGCTGACGATTTTGGTGCCAGGCAGGCAACAGTAGAGGAGTAGAAATAGAAAAATGGTGTGCATCAAGAGTTATGAAGTGTACACTAAAAGAAAGAAACGTGTAAAAATATGACTATGAAAATATGAGTGAAGCTTTATGTCTGGTTTACCCAGTTTAGGGACAAAGGTGTGAATATTTTACAGCAAAAAGGATTCCATTTTCATAATTATTTTAATGAAGGGAACTTGTATTTCACGTCAAGTGTCGGTTGGCTTGAATGATAGAAGAAATGCTATGGTGCTAAGTGCCTGTGGTGAAAAACTGTCATCAAATTTTGAAGAAATGAAGACATTCAAGAAAACATTTTAGGAATTAATTGAAATCAAAAGCCTAATGGATGATCAGATATTTAACTGTGATAAGTCAAGCCTTAACTACAAAATGTTACCTACTAAAAGCCTTGCAACCAGAACCAAAGAGGCAGCTCTTGGCTACGCGCACAGTAAGAAAAGGCTGACAATTTCAGCATGCAAGTGATACCACAGCAAACCTCAAAATGGGCCATAATTGGAAAGTCTCAAAATTCATGACTTTAAAAGAGGTTAAAAATATACTCTTCCTGTAAAGTTCTATAGTTAGAAAAATGCATGGATGAACAGTGAAATTTTCAAAGATTGGTTTTTTAAGGAATTTAATTCTTCAATAAAAAGTCTCTTAAAGAATATAATTTACCCAGAAAAGCTGTTTTGTTGCTTGATAATGCTCCAATGAACCCCGATGGAGAGGAACTCCAAGATGGTGACATTACGGTAATGTTTCTATCCCCCAACGTATCTATCATAAGTCAACCCACAGATCAAGCTATTTTGGAAATGATAAAAAGGAACTATTGTGGAAAGTTTTTCATAATGATCTAAGAAATTGGAGGACAAAACAAGATTCAAAAACTGAAAAGCATCAATGTAAAGTATGTTGATAGTCAGATTGCATGGCCTGTGCTGATCTAAGAGATACAACAAATGTCAAATCATGGAAGAAGCTGGTGACGATGATGATAAGGGAAAGCACAGATGAAACTGAAGAGACCATCCTACCTTTACTGCAATATATCCCTAGGTAAGACACATCTTTGAAAGAAGTTGAAAATTCGATGAAAGATGATGATATAACTGAATGAAATAACTGAGGAAGAAATTGTCACTCTTGTTAACTACGATGAAACTGAAATTGAAGATCAAGGTCATGCACCAGCTGTTTAGAATTGCAGAATTCCACGTAACAACAGAGTTGAGGTTCTAGAAACTGCAATTAAATATAATAAAGAAGAAGAAGCTAAAGGAATTGACATATTGATGTTGCAAAGATGGTAGGACTTAACAGTGATAAAATAGAACTTGTTCAGAAAAACACACTATGATAAAAAATTTAAATTATTACAGGACTGAGCTTCTGAAGTACTGTATATAACTTCAGACAAATTTGTGACCTCAAATTCATTTTTTTAGTTAATTTTTCCTGTTTTGTTGTAAAAATTATTAGGTTTGTAATATAAAAAATTATAACATAGTTTGACATTTAGGTCTTTTTCTTAACACCTTCTTATAACCCTACATTTTCACTTAACGAACATTCTGCACACTTGTTTATGTCAGAGATAAGTGAGACTCTACTGTAATAGCATACTTCAAAGATATAAAAATGCAAAAGGATAACTGAATTCCATGAAAGCAAATTTAATTCCCCATAAGCTATTTTACAGCATAAATAAATAAATAAAATTCAATGATTTTTATAAAAAAACCATAAATTTTACAAATTCAAACTTAGATCTGCACATAAAGTCACATTAAATATATTTTAAAATCTCCATTAGAAGCATCCTCATCTTTAACATATTTGCCTAAGTATAAGATGAACCTGTATTCTGCACTTTATATGCCATAGCAATCACATATAGGAAAAAAGAAGTTCCAGGTTTTGATTGATTGTTTCAGGTATTTAAACTTTACATGTTGAAAATGATCTATGGGAAACAAATACTCTGCTTTGATGTAAATTTAACTAAACTTACTTTTCTTTAACAGCTAGCTACTTTGCAGTCAGATGCAAAAAATAAGTGATAAGCAAAAAAAAAATTACCTTCATATGTGTTTTAAAAGTTAGGCTATGTATATTAGGTATGGTTTACAGCAGCACACATTAAAAGGATAAAATCCATTTTATAATCGGCTCTTGAATCTCTAATATTTCTTTTACAATAAGCAATACATGATTAAGAGCACTAGGGCAGCAAGAAGACCATGATGATGCCCGATACATTTTACAACCAAATTTTTTATTTTGATAATTTTCATCTTTGTTAAACACACTGAATGGTTAATAATTTTATGTTATTCATTAAAGAAAAGAATTTAACATATACATACACAGGGTACTCATTGATGATGGTAACCGTCCCATACTTCTGTTAATAGCTTGAAAAGAACCAAGCTGTGACATAGACCTAGCTTCAGCATGACCAGTTAAATTATAACGTGATCGACTCTCTCTAATGCCATTATGAAGAGCTTTTGAAAAAGAAATGGGTGGCATAGATTGCAACTGTGAAAGGAAAGGTGCTACTGATAAATGGGGCCCATCCTGTTTACTACCACCAACTTTTACAATTGTGACACCACATGATGTTTGATTCACAATGTGATGACTTCTGAAAAACAAAATTTGAAAACTATTATGAAGCTAACAATTAAAATTTGTATGCACAAAAAAGTACATAAATGCATCAAAATAAATAACAGGCTACATTACTGCATGAAAATCTACTGTTTAAATATTAAGAAGTATGTTTTTTTTTTTTTTTTTTTGAAATACAGAATAAAAACATGACATTTAAACAAAGAAATGAGTTAGTTATCAAATCGCAATACAAATATTTTTCCCTTATAAAATAGCAAGATAAAAACTTTATTATATTTTAATGATAAAAAGAAGTCGGAAAATTGAAGCTTCTTAAATAAAATTCTTTAAGTTACAAGACCTTAGTAACAGAAAATCTAGAAATCTTATTTGTCATGGAGTACTTTTTCATAAAATTTTACTATTTATAAAACTAATGGAAATAAATCAAAATAAATGTTTTACTAATAAACACATACAGAGAAAGAGACAGCATAAAAGTGTTGAGTTTGGTCTTCTAGTTCAATTCTTTTCATAGTAAGAGAATGCCATTTCATCTGAAAGTTAGGAAGACTAACGTTACAGAGACAGATTTTATAAGTATAACACAGTTGAGATGACAGAAAAGCATGTTTGATTGTAAAGTTTATGACAGCCTGTCATATATTATACCTTTCAATTTATAAGCAATACATGTCTTGGCAATAACACAAACACAGGTTTAAAACTGAGTGATTATTACATACTTAGATGATTTGCAATCCATTTTCAGTTGCTGAAGATAAAGTCGAATATTTGAGGAAGCAGAAGGCTCCACTTGGTTACAAATAGAAGTCAAATACTGAGGAAGAAGAGCTGGGTATGTGTCAGTAATTCCTTTAATGATGCGCAACAAAGTCATGAGAGTCCATTGGTCAACTTTCCCTAAATGTGACACTAAAAATTCTAAGGAGTCTTTTCCTCTTTCCTGAAAAATGTAAGAGAATTAAAAAAAATTATTACACATATCAAGCTCAACAACAATTTATACGTCATCAATATTTGAAAAGGGGTTCCAAACTGATTTGAAGCATGCAGTGAAGATCTGTCTATTGATGAGTAAAAGTTAAAGCTGCATTTTGATTCAATTAACTTTAAAAACTGCCTCTCTCACAAAAAAAAGTACTAAACTACACAATTTTAACAGATTATGTACACTTTTATCAACAGCTTAAGAATATCTTGCTGATAATTAGAAAATGACATGATGAAACACATACACACCTACATTAGATAAGCATATTTAAATATTAGTTATGAATTCTTATTCACAAAGGCCACAAACAATAATAAATGAATCTGCAAAACAATTACGTAATATGGAATGACTTTAATATAACTAACTATGTTTCAAGATCTTGTTATAAACATGGGAAGAAAATTCTTCTAGTAAAAATACTATCTATAATGAAAAATGCAGAACTTTCCAGATTATAAGATTAAAGTAAAATTGATTTGACATGCTAAATGTATAAATAATGGACAAACTCTTAATTCTAAAATGTATAATAAATCTCTAAGCAAAGGCATCTCCCAGATGTAGTTTTTGTTGTACCATAGCACTGCAGCTATTAGCTTACTGTAAAAAGCCATTTAAAGAAAGTGGGCCCTTATTTATATTATACTTAATGAAAATCCTCCAATACCATTAGCCAGAGCCTTTTTAAGAAAACAAATATCTTGAATATAGGTATAGTGCAAGCATATGAAACTTGAGGCCTGACTCCTTTTTCTGCAGCCCTTGGCTCATCTGAGAAAATATAAAAGATGTATAACTATAATATATAAATAAAAATTCGAATTCCATCGAATATTGAGGTGTATAATAATGAGGCTCTAAAATGTTACAAAGGGCTCTTTACAAAAACATTTTCGATGTTCTCCAATAAACAGAGCAGATCAAAATATATAGATGCCCATTAGAGAACTTATCTGAAATAGTTGCTCATCTCATAACTGTGCACTATCAAAACATATAGATGCTCATCAGAGAACTGATCTGAAATAGTTGTTCACCTCATAGCTGTTCACTATTAGAACCTATTATCATAATTTACTTATTTACAAATTAGCAATGATTGTCATGCCATACAGCTCCAGCATATTCATAGGTCAATGAGCGATATCAGTACAGTTCTGCAATTTCTCAGCCTAAAACTTCTCTCCTGGTTTCCAACAAGTGCTATTCAGACAGCTGGTTTCACTGCAGTGAAATGGTATGTCAATCAACTTCTGAACAATTTCCATTTGTGCACTATATGTCTGTATATACCTAGTGGTAGTAAATGAAAACTCATTGATGAACATCACAAATTTTACGATGACTGATGACAATATTTTTTTGTGAAGAGAAAAGCAGAACTACATACTTAGTGAGCAAATTCCCCAATAGTATATATACCTACATCATGCAACCCTACACAGCTAAAACACTAAACTTCTAGAACAATAAACATAGTCAGACAACTTATTGCTCTATCTTACCTCTTAGGTATAGTAATTACAAACTCAAAATGAAGAATTAAAAAAAAAAAAAAAAAAAAAAAAACTATTTATTAACATATCAAACTTATTTATATAATAGTCTAGCAGAAGTCCACTTTGCTGCTTGTAGAAAACTCAGAATAATCATTTTACATTCAAACTGAATAGGAAATACAAAGTAGCACATGCCTCACTAAGCTTTGGCTTGGGCTAAGTATTCACAAAGCAAATGCAACTTGCCAAAGCTGAAAATTGGTAAAGTTTAATTTCAATCAGTAGGCAAGCATAACACAGTAATCGTCAGCAAAGCTGCCAAATGTTCTCCAACTCATGACTTACTTATACTTTAATTTGTATTTTGGTGGGAGCTGACAGTAGAAGTGAAAGAACAAGCAAACTAATAAGATAATTAGATAAATTAACATAAAACCATATAAAGTTATATAATGTGAACTATGACTAACAGCAACACAAATACAATTAATATGAAGGATTAATGATGAAAGGTTAGTTGTAAGAACTAAAGTGGCAAACAAGGTTTGTATATTAAATTACATGAAGCAAAGCTATGGTACAGGCAAACTATGCATTGTTGGAAAATGATAGCCAAACATTCAAGATCTTCCACAGATAGTGATTTCACAGGAGACTGTTTGAAAAAAGCTACTGAAATAGATAGTTCTTAATCTATAAAGGGATTTCAAAGCATGTTGCTCTTCTGCAATATGGTTGTTGAAAGAATAACTGAAATGACATCCAGTCTGACTCATTAAAAGAAAATAAAGCATCAAGCTTTACTGCATATTCCATTACATGTGATAAAAGTACAGATATCAGTGGCATAGCATAATTAGTCGTACCGCTTCGAGCTTGTGATATGGAATTCCATTTTGAGGGATTACTGGATGCTGTACCACTACATGGCACTGTGACTGGAGAGGATATATACAGAGCTGTTTGTAAATTTTTAGAAAACTATAATTTACCTCTGTTTAATATATCTTGTGTTGTTATACACAAAGCTCCTTCAATGACTAAAAATAATGACTTTGTAGATCACCTACACAGATATACAAGTAAATCTTCTGTGAAAGACTTCATTTCAAACATGTCCACTCAGCTATACACCATGTATCACATTTAAAAGTAACTAACATAGACAATGTATGAATGAAGCCAGTTAATATGAGACTGAATGGTCAGATAAAAATTTCGAACACAAGTTATTGCTGTAGGGAAAACAATTAAAGAAAGGAAGACTTAAACTTTCTAACTTCCCATCAGTACAAAACAAGGTCAAGAGAGCCTGTTTTGTACAAACATTCACTTAGATTGCTTTGTACAAAACCTGTGTCAAGCTATTAAGCAAATGAAGACTGAATTTGAAGAAAGATTTAGAGATCTCAGATCTATTACAATGCACTCTCTCTGTTTTCAGCCCCTTTTCAATTGACCTTGAGAAAGTTCTAGCCCATGTACAGTTGAAATTAATAGAAATTCAGTGCAACTCTAAACCACAATTTAGTGAGTAGGTATGTCCTAATTTTACAAACACTTGCCTTTTCTTAGTCAAAATTTGTCATTTTTTGGAAATAAAGAACTAAAAACACACAAGCTTACTCAAAGAAACTTTGTAATTACAATGTCTTATCAGGTCTTTCTTTTATGGTTGGTATTACAAAATTTTTGTTTGATATGAAACAGAAACTGCAAAGAAAGCACCACATCTGCAACATATTTATTTACTTGATTTCCAAGTTCAGTAATACATTGAGTGCAAAAAGCTTTTCTCACTAATGCAAAGGAATGCATTCCCAGTGAGATCCAATGCAGCAGCAACAGATGTAAAGGCAAAATGCATAGTATTCCAATATGGCAGCTTATTCAGAGGAAGATTTGGGTTCCTGAAATTTTGAGTTCCATAATAGCTACATCATCATCGTTACGTAAAAGTCATATGATGTGGACAGTTTAAGTTATAATTTTGATTTACACATTAATTATTTTACATACAGGATGCCCATAATAAAAACAAACTGGCTATTTCAAAGCTATTCTAAAGCAAAACAAGCTCTTTCAAAGCTGCCTTCAGGTAAAACCAATCATCAGAAAATTGTGAAATTTTGTGGGGGATTCAATGAACAAATAGAATGTCTTTCAAAGATTTAAAAAAAAAATAGTTACAAACATCATCACCAGAGGGCATTGTATTAATAAACCACACACTTAGCAATTCCTTTACAATAGTTTTACAATTTAATAAATTTTACTACAATAAAACATATTCTACATAATGGCCATCATTTTCAGCTACAATCTGAAATCACATGACACCATGTTCCACAGTTCACCAAAGCACATATAGGGAAATACTGGCTTAAGAGATCAGGTCAAAGTGCTGGACTGTCACGATTTCTGCCCCCAAATCCAAAAACTGAGATCTAGGGATTGGGGAGGACACACATTATGAAAATGATGGCTGATGACATTTAAGAACATTCGCAACACAACATGCAATGTGTGCAGGAGCTACATCATGCATAAAGATTGTGTGTGCAAAGCACTGTTTGCAAAGTCAGAACAATTTCATTCTCTAACAGCATGTGTGTGCAAAGCACTGTTTGCAGGGTTAGAACAATTTCATTCTCTAACAGCAATGCATATCACTGCCCGATGATTAAGCATGTCACTGTATAGAGTCATTCAGGTTTTTTGAAGCAGAAGAGATGAAAAATGAGCAATGCCCTCACCAGGACTCACACTTACACTTACACTTCTCAAATATGCACTGAGTGTGCTACTGTTACACCATGAAGGCATGCTGGATACCTTATAACTGGACTCCCCAAAGTATGGTCGAGAATAAATGATGCAGAAAATCCACACCACATTGTCATTTTTGGTGAAAGCAACAGAGCTTCTAAGATAGGGTGTGGATTTTCTGGTTCCCAAATTCAGCAGTTGTGAACATCAAACTGGAAATATGCTTCGTCCACTCCACACTGCACCATCCAAATAAAAATGTGCTTCGTCTACCGAGGGGTGATCTCAAGTTCTAAATCGAGCTCAAAGCGAACAAGAAACTGATGTGAGAACTGGAGTCGAGTGCTGGACAATGTGCAAGCCTGAAAGTTTGAAGTTGTGTCCTCTACCACCTGAAGCACAACATACTGTAGTGCTTATGCAAGAAAGAGGTTTCATCTTTTTCCAGGATGAACAGAAAATTATCTTGTTTCTTTAAGTTTCATTATCACTTTCCAAAGGTTTTAACATTCATTGGACCTCTTTGAATACTCTTCAATGTCCAGAATTTCCATAGAGCAGCTACAGCATAATTACTGCTTTGATAAAACAACTTTTACT